ATTGATACGAATAATAAGAAAAAAAAACATCTTACAGGCCCTTTTCAAGAAAGAAAATCCTACTCGTGCTTCAAAAGTCGGAAAAAAAATTACCATTTTCATGAGACAATACAAAACTTGGTCTAGTTTCAAATTTATCAACGATGGTGGTTGATAGAATTTCTTCATTTTCAACTAACAGTCACTTAACACAATATTTTTGACAAGTCAAGAAATTTGGAAGTCTCATTTCATAGCTTACCGTTTTGAAACTCTTGACTTGTCCATAAGAAGCGATACGAAAGAATCCGTATAATCCTTGAACTTGCCCATTTCTATTGATATGCGAGTAAATGAGGGTTGGCGAATAATAGCATTTTGAAAGAGAAAAAAGCCAAAAATCTAGTAGGGTAACTCTCACTGATGGTACACAGTAATTAGTAACTAAACAATGAATTAAAAGAAAACGAATAAAATACAAAACAAGTGATGTTCAAAACTTCAGCATTCGGTCCATATTGTTAAAACAATTATCATTGAACGAGTGCACTGAGGCGAATGATTTAATGGCCAGACGGGTCGACGAGTCCGTGCTTGATCGTCTAACCGTTGACGGCTCCTTATCAATGGGTGATCCATTTTCGAAGTAAGCTCCAAAATCATCGACAGAATCGGTATTCGCATTGTCCCCCGCCAAGCTGACAGCATCCTCGATCACAGGAAGCACTTGTCTCTTGGCGACTGTTTGCAAAAGTGACGTTGAGTGCGAGGAAGGAGGCACAAACGACGGACATCGAAGGCGTTCCTTAACGGGGAGCCTTTTATTTAGCACCAAAGGCAACGAAACTTTCTTCCCATTCAGCGGCACCACAATCATATTACCGGACAAGTCTTTGACCTTGCAACTCTTCACCAAAATATTTGGAGTGAACTTAGCAACCGGTGACCTCTTCGGCGTTAGAGGTTTGTCGAGCAAATCCGGATGTATGTGTATATAATCGCTGATGGAAATTGACGATTCTTGGCTACCATCCACGGGCAAGTCGGACGACTCTGAAGCCGTGTCCGTCGATTCACAATCTATTTCTAGTGGTGGTGAAAGTGCTTCCACTCGGGCACGTCGTTCAGCTATCAGTTTGCGAAAATTTGGACTGGAAAAGGTTTTTCTGGCGACTAAAGGTGTCTTAGGCAACACATGTGGTACTGGATCCCGCAACAAACTACGCAGCAGTCTGACTTCGCTGTCGGGCAATCTGGTCACACGAGGAGTCTGCGGTACTCCTTGGACGCTGATACGAATATTATTCAGATTAGAGAGCCGATTTATCCTGGGACTGCTGCTACCTACTTCACGTCTATTCAAAAGCTGATTGACCCCGGAAAGGCTACTGGTGACGTTATTTTCCTTTGATGGCTGCTCTGAGTCGCAACTGCTGCCAGCAATTTTACGTATACTCATTTTCTTATTCGAGTCAACCCGATTTGATGGCGGAGATCTTGAACTGGGATTAACCTCGGTCGAATTGTCTTTTTCAGCCCGAACTGAGTCATCGACCCGTTTAAGCACAGTGAGTTTACGTTGACCTGCATCCGAGCGACCTCGACGCCTACTTGATGGTTTCGGTGGTGGCATTATATCGACGTAAGCGCTAATATCGACCTGATCACCAACCGAGTTCAAGATGATCTGACTCTCCACAAATAATTGTTCGTCGATGACAGTTGTTGAATCATTCGCTGTCTGCCGAGCAGTTCTGTCCGACGACAACGAATTTGTTAACCTGACGCCATTCAGTAGGGGCGATGAGTTGGATTGGACTGAGCTAGCAGAGGACACTCTTACATGCACGCGTCTCTTGAACATTTGATCATCTGCAACAGCGGCACCGCGGGGTCCGCAAGTCGGTACGATAGAGAACTCGTCCTGATCGTCATCACTAATTTCGATGGTCTCCTCACTGACTCGTATCATGGAACTGTCTTTAATCTGCTTATTAGCGCTTTCTAACAAACGTGCA